GACAAGTTCTCAGAAAACACTGTCAGCTGCTGAGATTCAGCTTCAAGAGACATCATCCAACGTTAGCCATAAACAACGGGGGCAACAAAATGTCTGGCAGGTCTTGAAGTGACACGAGATGCCTGTGCTCCGCAACAAACCCATTTCACACCACAGGAAAGGTCACCACTTTAATCCACTTCGGGGTGGAATGTACACAAACGTCACTCTCCTCAACATCTGTAGTTAAAGAGCCTCTTGCTTTGCTATCCAGCCCATGTTTATTCTCCTGTTTGCTAATGTGGTGGATGGCAATATAATATGACACTGAAGAGATACAGCCTGCGACTTCTTTTTGGTGATGGGCCTGCAGAGAGCTGGATGGGGAGGGTGGTTGTGCTGCTGGATGCGGCAGTGATTTCCTCTCTGGATGTGCAGCATCTCTGAGAGCTGAAATAACAACAGCAAAGAGGACAGTGAAAGCAAACAGAAACCACTGGCAGAGATCCCCAGAAGTGTTGACTCGCTGCAAGCAGTTGTTGAGGTCCCTGCTGGGAGGAGATAGCCCCTAACCTGGGAGGTTGAGCCCAGGTCGGTACCTTCTTCCCTGTGAGGGTGCTGAGGCGCTGGCACAGGGTGCCCAGAGAAGCTGTGCCTGCCCCATCCCTGGCAGTGTTCAAGGGCAGGTTGGACACAGGGGCTTGGAGCAAGCTGCTCTAGTGGAAGGTGTCCCTGCCCGTGGCAGGGGTTGGAGCTGGAGGAGCTTTAAGGTCCCTTCATCCCACATCACTCCATGACTCTGCTATGGAACAGTCTGGTTTCCAGCACCAGTATGTGCTGGAGCAGTTGGCAGAAGTCTTCTGTGGCCTTGTGATCACCGAGGAGTACCTTGAAATAACCCTGAATAGTCCCTATGGGGACCCTTCCTTTCCCACCCAGTGCTCTGAGGTCCCAGCCCCAGCTCCCACCCCATTCCCATCAGGAATCATTTCTGTTTCCTCTCCAAACCCTTTGGGCTGCAGGGCTGGCCCAGGCTTCACCAGGAGCCTCGCAGGGAGGAATAGCTTCACAGGGATGGTGTTAGCCCCTGGGAAGGGCTGTGGGATGCGGTGCTTTGCAGTCCCGAGGCACGGATGCGTCCTCCAGATCCTGGCGTGCTCTCAGCAGAACAACACCAAGATATTTATTTGCAGTAGACAATGGTTGACCAAATAAACCCCATTTGATTAATGCCCACTGCTTCTCGGGGCTTTTTCTTCGAGGGCAGTAAATTCACTGCCTGTGTAAACACGCCAGGGCTGCTCCATCTCCCTGCATCCAACTCCCATTTACCTCATGTCCAGTGAATGTCCTTCAGTGACATTTGACAAGCTTATTTAGGGAGTTGTTTGTGGGTTTGGGTTGGGGTTTTCCCCCCACTTCTACTTCTTAGTGAGGTCTCCCAAGAGCAGGAGCTGAACCAATCCCACCACTTGTCTTCACATATGAGTTTCACCAGGCCCCTAATAGAAACCCCAAATTCCCAAGCTGAGGATCAGTGACCATCCTCCAATGGGATGGTTTCACCTCATTGCCCTCTGGCTGCTCGTTTCATCCCCCCCTACACCTCCACAGCTAACTCCTTGCTAATAATGCATGAGGAGGGTTGGTGTTTTCACTGATCCCCAGCTGAGTGCCCCTCAGCTATGGACCTCAAACTCAAATCCCTGGGTTTCTGGGAGCAGACACCTCTGGGTGTATGGTGCATGATCTGGTGGAGCTTTAGCAGCATTTGTCAGTCATTAAGCTGCTGCCCTGCTGGAAAGGTTATGGAAACTCCCACCAAGGCACCCAAGTGTCTGGGGACCAAACACTGAGATGCTTTAGCCGAGGTGAGCTGGGTACCCTGCAGGGAAGGACTCCTCCAGTGGACTTGGCCATGGTGGGTCCCACCACCAGCTGTGTGCTCCGAGGTTGGAAGGAGGCACCTCAGGAGCACACGGGGCTGTTTCCAGCATTTTGAGGTCTGTGTGGTTTCCTGTATTCTGCTTTAGAGACTTAAACATCATCCCACGGCTGGTCCCCACCAGCAGCCTTATCTCATGCCCCATCTGCCACCGCTTGCCGCATGGCTGTGAAGGTCTCACCATGGATCAGCAGCTGATGAGAAAGCAGGGCAGGAGGCAGGGCAAGGTGACAGCTTCTCCCCTCCTGACACAGCAGCCGCCAGTGCCACAGCAACAGGACCCCTGCCTGTGCCCCAACCCAATGCCCTCCAAGCCTGGGGAGCAGCCAGGACCTGCCCTCTGGGTTGGTGGCATCTCCCTTGCCATTCCCATAGCTCAGCACACGCCGGTTTCACTCAAGAGCAAACCAAACCACCAGAGAGCACAGGATTACACGTGTTCCTCTTATGCAAACCCTCAGGAGCACCCTGTGTCCAGCTGACATGTTTGCAGACGCAGCTGGTGCTCTCAGCATCCTCCGTGCAGGGGGCACTTTGATTCAGTTGGAAGCCCCAGTGAATCCAGACCCACATCCCTGCTGGGTGCCTGCTCCAGAGTGCCTGAGGCTTTGCTCATGGAGATAAACAAGCAGTTCTGAAAAAGTCCCTGAAAAACAACCTCCAGACACTGGATTTCACTTCCCAAAGCAGCGCAAGCCACCAGCACCAGCTGTTCCCAGCAGCTGGCGAGTGCGCTCCGATGACACCATTCCAGCACTAAACTATTAGTCAATTGATTAATGAACTGGGACTTCCCATCCAACAGCAATATTTTGGGTTCAAACTCTGATTTGACTCATAGTTAGTACAGAAATACATTACACATGCTAAGCACATGTTGGCATCTCATCCCCAGCCTCAGACACAGGGAAAGGTGCTGCCCTCAGCACCTTTTCAAGGCTGCTTGCAAACGCACCCAGAGATGCAGCGGCTTTGGTACTGCTCAGCCCTACCTGCATGTGGGATGTGCACGGTGGTGGCAGGCTCCTGTCACCCCACTGCTGCCAATGGAGCTTAATGAGAGCTGCAGCTCTGGCCAGGAAGCAGCAAGGTTAACCAGGAAAGGCTCAACCGTCTCAGACTGGAGAAGACTGGAAACCTTCCCCAGGTCACTGGGCCTTTGGGCAGCGCCAGCACAAGGTGCCAATGCCATGAGGCATGGCCAGGACGTGGTGCTGGCAGCCAGGCTCTGCACAGGGGCACTCGGGGATCAGAGTCACTGACTGCTCAGGACCAACTCTGGGTTTCACTGCAGGGCTCGAAACCAGCTAGAAAAGGGGTTTTCCAAGTTTCTTTGGAATACCAATACGTATGCTAATATATACCACTACTGCTGCTAGTACTGCTACTACTGTTAAAAAAGAAAACTTCAGATAATCTTGCCTGTGTTAGTGTTAAACCTGTGAGCCCTGGGACAAGGCTCCAGGGACACGTGTCCAGGGAAGGTGACAGTGCCTGTCTTCTGATGGAGACATCCCGTGGCAATGCAGGTCACAGTAAGCAGAGGTGGTGCAGAGAAGCAAACAGGGAACAACTGTTCCTTATTTCTCCTGACATGGGAATGAAACACTGCCCAAACTGAATGCCAGCTTTATTCCATCTTGGTGACCATGGCATCCCTTGCCAAACCCCTGTTGAAACATGTGCATAAACCCACTGCAGGGTAAAATTCAACAGCTGTTTTTACCAGCTACAATGCCTTATGTTGTAAGCTTGGCAGGTAACAAGCTCAAAAGCTGTTTTTTTTGTGATCTCTTATCATAACAAAGTCTCCAACAAGCATAGCTTTGCTAAACAGCATGTCTGTGCAATGGGAAACAGGGCTCAGTACGCTACAGAGGGGTCTCTGCTGAGAAGCATCAGCATCGCTCTGTGGTGATGCAGTCAGGCTTTGTGAGACACACAGCAAGGCACAGCCCACACCATCACCCTAAGAGAGAATGAAAGCACGCTGGCCTGAACAGCCAGTGCCACCATCCCATCCTGCTGCTTATCTAAGGCAGCAGCAGCACACAGAGTATTTCCAACACAGAGGAGAGAATGTCCCTGTGATGGTACCTGGTGAGGCAGAGGGAGCATGTAATCTCCCAACAAACCCAGCATCCTGCTCCCACCTCCAGTGCTCCAGAGGGATGAAAGGAAAATGATCAGAAGGGAAGAAGTGATGGAAATTCAAGTGGTGCTAATAAAATATTCCCTTTGGTGGAGCAGAGGCTCATGGGCACAGCCAGCTGAGGTACAGAGAGCAGGGCTGATGGGGAGAGCAGGGCCTGAGAGACAGAGGCGATTGCAATTTGGTCTGTGAACATATAAAATACAAATACACATCTACATCCACAGAACCACAGAATCAGCTGGGTTGGAAGAAACCTTTAAGATCATCAGGACTGCCCAGGCCACCACTAAACCATGTCACTAAGGGCTTCATCTGTCCATGCCTCAACACCCCCAGCGCTCACCCCAGTGCAGGTGGGATATGAGGGCTCTGAAACCCAGACCCTACCCAGCTCTCTGACCATTAACCAGCAGGTCACGTCGGGGCTTAGCCCAAATCATCTCCTCTCCATCAGGAGCAGTGATGTGGAAGTGAAGGTCCCCATGCAGAGGAGCGGGGTGAGCAGCCAGCTCTCCCTCTGCCACAGCTCCTGAAGCACCTCACACAGTCCCAACACTTTAAACCACCCGATTGTGTGGTTTGGATTTATCTGCTTTCTCCTAAACACGAAATTGCTTTTAACAAGGTCTGAGCCACACACATGCCTAAAGCATGCATGTGTGTGTGTGCGTGCACACCTGCAGGTACACACTGTGGCTTAATATACTGCGGATATAATCACTCTAGTAAAGGCAGCATCTTAAACAGAAATACACAACCATTTTGGCCAGGAAACAAACCAAACCCTCCCTGGCCCTAGCCCATCCTTTTAATGAGACTAAGCCAAGCCTCAAGCCCTTTGTTGGCTTTTCCAGGCTGCCTGCTCCAGGAACAAGGCCGAGCATCACCTTGCACACATGGGAGGCTACTTCCAGCGCACCCTTTATAGAGCAATCAATCTTTATTTTGGAGATAGCTTAAGTAAAGTAACATGCAAAGAAACACATGAGTAAGAGTCTCATCTGCCTCGGGCTTCTGCAAATCCTTTTCTTTTCCTCCCTTGCAGCACAATGAGTTGGATGCTGTTATTCATCCCTGTGAAGCACCGCGTGTACCTCCGTGCCGTCTGTCCCTTGGCTGGAGCTCTGTTTGCAGATTTCCCGTGGGAAAGGAGGTGCCTCTCTTCTGCAGAACACAACCAGGGCATTGCACGGGCCACGGGGACGCTGGTGGCGACTGAAGGGCTTCGCAGGACCTCCCTGGGATGTGAGCAGCAAAATCCCCTTCAACTTGCCACAGTGCAGGTGCGCTTGGTGCCCGTGGAAGAACATCTGCCCGCAATCCCGGTGCACCACGACTCCTCATCTGCAGCATCTTTCTTCCTACCGCACGTCTGACTCTGTCTCTGCCCTGTCTTCACCCGCCCTCTGTACTGTGTGCCTGGCCAGATTCCTAGGGGTGAGCCTCGAAACTGGAGTTAGTACAAAACCTGCTTGAACTACAGACAAAAACTGTATTAGGTCAAGTAGGATCAGGGGTCTGATACTTGCTGAGAGCATTTCATGAACCGTAGGCGTTCTAAGCCCCACACACATTCAAATGACTCGAGATGAGATAAGGTCTGTGGCTGAACAGCAAGGGAGACCTCAGTCTTCCACACCTATGAGGAACTCAGTTTAATACGAACCTTCTTATATTAAACAGGATTATCTTTAAAAAGCACTGTTACGTATTTACTCATTTACCATGAACAAACCCCTTTCCGTTGTGGTTTTTTTTTGTGGGAAGATACCAGATTCCTTTATAAAACCCACTCAAGTCCTTTGTTCTGTCCTTGGAAATGTGCATATATTCCAGGAGAGGTTCCAAATGTCTTCCTCATTAAGAAAAGGGCCACGGAGCAATGCCACCAGCACCGCTCACAGCTTGTGGCCCAGCAGCAGCAAGAGCAGGGTGATGGCAGCAGCAGGCCCGGGGCAGGGGGCTGCATTCCTGGGGTCACTGTTGGAGACCGTGGCACCACCTTTGCTTTGCTGATTTAGAAGCTGCTTGTTTGCAGAGGTGTCGTCCATATCCAGGTCGTATGCCAGCTCTGGAGGAAAAGCAGAGAGGTGGTTAGTGTTAGTCACATCCCAACACATGGCACATTCAGCTCCCACCAACGCCAGAGTCCTCAGGAGAGCAGGGGTGAGGAAATCCAGGAGAGCCCACATGGTTCCCCCAAACCCAGAGCCAGCCCCAGGGCTTGCTCACCAAACATCTCCTGGCTGGAGGACGTGAGGAGCTCTGCATTTCTGCAGTCGTAGTGAAGGGTGTGCAAAATACGCTCCTTGCAGCACTTACAACACATCCATCTCATCCCTGTCCACCTCATCAAAGCCCTGGAGAGTGTGGAATGCGAATGGATCACGCACCCCAGGCATGCTGCTGTTGCAACACGGGGACTTTGAGGTGAAGCACGAGAGCTCCAAACCAAAAACATGTCCAGTATAAAGGTTATGAGAGCCCTGGCAGAGGAGCATGACATTAATGGTCACAGTCACTCTGCTCTCCCAGGGACAGGGAGGAATAAAAGAGTCCAAAGACACCATGTAGAAAGGCAAGAAACCAGCAATTACCAGGGCCAAGAACAAAAAGCTCAAGTTGTTTTAACATCCATTAGCCACATCCACCCGAGGCATTTGTACCTGCCAAGCATCTGGACCGACTGGGTGTCCCCATGCTTCACTCAAGGCAATGGGTCCCTCACTCCCCTTCTCATGCTGCTGCAGTTTCCTTCTGGGGGCCAAGTTTCTCTCATTTAAGCCAGTTCATCTCATCCCCAGAGCCTGGCCTGGAGGAAGCCAGTGGTTTCCATCTGAAGATACCCTGGCTCAAGCCTTTCAGAAGCCCCCATGGATCAGCAGCATACTGATAAGTTTGGATCATCCCACCCCACCCCTGAGAAAGCATCCAAAAGGCTGAGCAAACACTCTAGCTGAAGAGCACCGCATCAGTCCAACGAGCAGCACTGCCAAGGCAAACAGGCAGTATTTCTTCATCAAAAATACCCAAACATTGCAAAACAAAGGCAGAAGGATGGTAGCGTGACAAGAGAGCCAGCCCAGGCCATCACAGAGGGTCGGAAATGCTTGAATGGGAGCAGACATCCCCATGCACAAAGGGCCTGGTGCAAGCAGAAGCCGCTTGGTGAACCCTGGCTTTTCCAGGAGATTCCCACAGAATCTGTGATTCCCCTTCTCCACAACCTTCCTGATTTTGTTCTGAAGAGTACAGATCTGAAGGGTACAGATGCGTTGCTGTGCTCAGAGCTGCACAGCCGTGGGCAGAGCAGAAGGTGCCACCCTGAGAGGGATGCTCCAGGAGGCCACCAGTGCCAGTCCCGTGCTGCTTTCCAAGCACAGAAAGAACACATCCCTCCGGCACACAGGATGCTCAGGCTCTGGGACAGTTTGGGAGCAGCCTGGCTGCCACGAGGAGGATCAGGGGACTGGAGCACCTCCTGTGTGAAGACAGGCTGAGGAAGTTGGGGCTGTTCAGCCTGGAGAAGAGAAGCTGTGTGGAGACCTCAGAGCAGCTTCCAGTGTCTGAAGGGGACCTATAGGGATGCTGGGGAGGGACTCTTCATTAGAGACTGTAGTGACAGGACAAGGGGTAACAGGTTAAAACTGAAACAGGGGAAGTTTAGATTGGATATAAGGAGGAAATTCTTTCCTGTTAGGGTGGTGAGGCACTGGAATGAGTTGCCCAGGGAGGTTGTGAATGCTCCATCCCTGGCAGTGTTCAAGGCCAGGTTGGACGAGGCCTTGGGTGATCTGGTTTAGTGTGAGGTGTCCCTGCCCATGGCAGGGGGGTTGGAACTGGATGATCTTAAGGTCCTTTCCAACCCTGACCATTCTATGATTCTATGATTTTGCTTCCCCAAGCTCATTCTGCCAAATAAGTGATTTTCAGTTAATAAAAATCACAGCAGATTATTCCAGGGTTGGTTGGTTTACACCAGACCCCTCAGCTGATACAAGGTCCCATCAGGGCAAGGACGCCTGCCCTGGTGTGCTTTGGAAAGTGTTTCTACACCCTCCACACACTCCTAAGACCTAAAAGATGCTCCAGGGGGTCACTCTACCACCAGGCCTCCAGGCCAGCAATCTGCAGCCCATCAGCAGAGCTTTTAGGGCAGAATAGTCTCTTATGGGACAACCTGGCAAACCCAGGAAACTCCACAGGAACTCCTCTTGCCTTTAGAAAAGAAAGTTGAAACAAAAGAGTGTTTCAGCAAGGTCCTTAAGAGCACAAAGGGTTTTGACGTTCCCATTTAAGTCTCATTCTGCAATGTAATTTATGAGATGCAATGCAGCAGCTGGGTTGTGCTGGAAACATCCAGCCAAATTGTCCCAGATCGATTGCTTCAAACACCATCTTTTAGCTGGGAATTTTTCAGATTCTGAGATTTCACCTGAACTTGAGTAAGGGCAATGTTTAAAATCACAGCGTTCCACCCACATGGGAATGGTGATTCCCTCATTCTCCCTCTTTGACCAAATTGAAGAGAACAGAAACCCTCTTGTCATCAGTGATATAAGAACCAGTTCCCTAGCCTCGTTTAACTGCTTCAGAAGTTTAGTGCTTGGGTGTGCCATTTGTTGTCACTGTTCCTGCCATTGTTTCCTTCTCTGGGCCCAATCGTACTTTTAGTCTTGATGGATTTAGCCATACATCTTTCATTTTGTATTACTAATGGATCCGTAACTGTTGCAAATCCCTTTCACTTCACTCCTAATGACTTTTGGTACACTGGAGGAAAGGAAAATAAGCCTCTAACAGACCCAAGGCAGAGACAAGCAGGTCCAGGCAATAGCAACATTACAAATATGTAACAATAATAACCATATCTCAAGGCCAGGAACCCAAATTTCCAAATATTCCTAACCAGATGCTTCTTGAGAAGGTCCCATTACAGTTCCCAGCCTTCCTTAGGATTCCTGGTTGGTCCAGGTCGCTCCTGCATCCCTGCACATCCTGCTCCCATAGCCCTGGCACAACAGATGGAGCTGCAGGACGGGTGGTGGGGTCACGGAAGCTAACCTCCCGCAAACACCATTTCAGTCACTTCCACCCAAAACTCTGCCTTTACACTGCATTAAAGGTCTCCACTGCCCCAGCTCCGCTCATCCACTTAATTTACAGTAGTTTCTACTACAAAGTGACCCTTTGGCTGCAAAGGCTTTTTCATGGGGGGGGGGGGGTAACTAGAATAATCTGTTTCTGCTTATAATCAGTTGGAGTCCAGAGGGTATTCCCAACAAGCTGCACTAATTACATAGCCAATCTGCACTCCTTCTGGCCCCTCTTGTCCTCTGGGCTGCGGATTAGATAATCCCCTTAAAATAATAGTCAATCATTAGCTCTGCTTTCCCCCCTCCCTTTCCTCATGGACTCGAGCGTGCCGGCCGCTTCCCGGAGTCCTTACACAGCTGGTGAAAGGTCTCCAGCCGAACGCAAGCCGGTCCCTCCGGAAGCATCTTTTGGAACAAAAGCCCCTCTAACACAAAGCTGCTGCTGCGCTGGGCTCCCGGGACAGCAAAAGCTTCAATGGTCTCGCAGCGTGGAGGACAAAACCTGCCGCCAGCTCTGCAACACACACTTCCCACATCCGCAAGGTTAAGCAGCGGCGTTCCTCCATGGATTAGGACTAGGATATGGCACAGTGACTCTGCACGAGCTTATTGGGCAGCGAGCGTTAAAAGCCAGCTTTGGAGATGGATGAAGTGGGGGGAAGTTGGATTTGAGTTGGTTTATTAAGGTATAGAAACGTGGAATGGTTTGGGTTGAAGGGACTTTAAAGCTCCTCCAGCTCCAACCCCTGCCATGGGCAGGGACCCCTTCCACTAGAGCAGCTTGCTCCAAGCCCCTGTGTCCAACCTGCCCTTGAGCACTGCCAGGGATGGGGCAGCCACAGCTTCTCTGGGCACCCTGTGCCAGCGCCTCAGCACCCTCACAGGGAAGAGCTTCTGCCTAAGAGCTCATCTCAGTCTCCCCTCGGGCAGGTTAAAGCTCTGAACATCCCACAGCAGCTGGTGAAGAAGCAGCCAGGAGGATGAGCACCGCACGCAGGCTGGGTTAGGGCAGCATCCCTGTGCCAAAGCCACTGCTGCCTCCTCAAACACCCCTTCTCACCCCTAAAAGGTCTTCAGCAAAGAACTGCCAGCAAATGCCCCTCTGGCAGCAAATGACCTCCGAGAGGACAGTGCCTGGCTCCCGCAGGCTGGCTCGGCGGCTGCTCAGAGCCAGGGAATGGCATCTGGGCTGCACGCCTGCCAAGGCAGATGGCTCCAGCAATGGCCCCAATATAGTAACAGAGTCATAATGGATGGCCAAGCATGAAAACCACTTTGCCATGTCATTTGATAGCTCTGCCGGTGCCCCATGCAGCAGCAGGGTGTGATGGGATCCCCTCCAGGTGAAACTGTTGTGCCCAGCAGTGTGTGCTCACCAAACAAGGCTGCCGACAAGGCCAAAGCGCTTGGGGGGACGTGGTGATGGCCCTTGTTTGCAGATGATGGATACTCTGTGGTTGAAGGGTCAAGGGAATGGATTGTTTCCAATCAGCACAAAACACATGGAGCAGAAATGTCAGGGACAAGCAGGGCAGCTTGGCAAGCTCCGGCAGCTCTCGTGGTCAGTTGTGAACATCTGCCTGCGTCTGTCCTTCAAGACTGCTCTAGGGAAGCATACGCTGCATCGCCAACGAGAATGACAGCCTCCAGGGTGTGTTGCTTTATTTAGTTGTAGGCAGCAAGCCTCAGCAGTGCGGGCAACAAGCTGCCAGTGGATGCAGCAGACTCTGGCTGTCTCCAAAGCAAGGCTGGATTTCTTAAAGGGAGAGATGTTTTAGTCAAGCCCAAACCATTGAGTCGTTAACAAGGGAAAGCATAAGAGCCTGTGACTCCAGACATCCCGGCTCCCAACTCTCTCCACCTCTACAGCACCAACCACTTCTTTCTTACAGGGGTTTACACCTGAAGGCTGGAACAGTCCAATTCCATCCCAAACTCTTCCTGTTGGAACACCAAGCGCTCTGCCTACCTCAGC